AAATTAAGGGTTTTAGTTATATCCTTTTCCTATTTTCTCTCCTCTCCTCTTTATATAAGCGTAATAACAAAAAAAAAAAAAGACGCTACCATATATACAAATACAAGAGAGATTGAAAACCTCTAGGTTTTGAATAGCAGATTCATTCTTGGACACTTCACTTTATTCGCCCAACAAATTACTTTAATTGCTGCAACATAGAGATGGCAACGATGGCCAAGAGAAAGAAAGCTTAATCTCTCAAATTAATTCTTTTTATCACTAATAATTAGGGTGACATTAACTGGTTATTTTTAAGTATTAGGACTTTTAACTAGTACTATTAAGTAGGAGTATTAACAAGGTACTCGTAAATTTAATTCTTTCGTCAAAATACATAAGTTACTCTCTAAACTATGGACCAAATCCTTGTTACACATTTTTTCCAGGTGAAAATTATTTTATACACTCAACCTTTTCGGAGTGTGTCTAATACACACTATTTTGCCCACGTGGCTAGTGCGTGTTTTTTCCAACAAGTGAAGCGCGTGAACATGAGATTTTTTGTATATATGTCAATTTCTTTTTTAGTTTTTAAAATAAAATAAATTGGATCATCTTCTTCCTTGTTTAAAAAATTCACAAATCTGTCATGGCTGGTTCTAAACACTTAGACCCACTTCAGTTGACTTCAATCCTGTTAATGGGTTAAGCCATCCTCCATTGACGCCTAAGTTTGAAAATATATCGGATCTTAATTGAGCTTTCTGGGATGCTTCTTCTGCGGATTTTATTTGGGAATCCATATTTCCCCCAAATTACCAGTATATTTTTCCATAACCCAAATGAAAAAATCTTAATTTGTTTGAAGAAAGTTTCTCATAACAACATTCTTTAGTCATTTTCAACTTCTGGGTTCTCTTAATGTTTCGATCTTCTTGTAATTCTTAATGGTTTTGTATACTTTTTGCTGGTGAAAATAATTATTGGGTTATAGAAATAGTTTTGATGGTGGGTTAATAACTGTTGAAAATGGTGATTGTGGAGGTGGAAGCCATGGTGATGTTATGACAGAGTTAATGAAGCTTGGTGGTTATGGAAGAAAATGAAAGCAGTTGAATGTGTCACAATAGAGTTATTGATATAGTGAAGAAGATGAAAATTAATGGTGGGATGCCTGTTAATGTTTGGTGGCAGCCATTGTTTTGGTGGTTTGCAAAAGAGAAAGAAACGGAGGGAGATGCTAAGGATATAATTGTAAATTTAGGTATTTTATTTTTAAAAAAAATATTTATTAACACGTGTCATGGCTTTATTGGTGCGTGACATTACATATATTCTGAAAACACCGGTTAAGAAAAAAGTAATGTGTGTTAGTTACACTTTGAAAAGGTTGGATGTGTAATATAATTTTCGTTCTCAGAAAGTGTGTAACAGGGATTTGGTGTATAATTCAGGTGGCTACCTGAAAACTAAAAATATACAATAATATATAAATTAAAAATAAATTTTATAAAACTAATTAAATAGTATATAACATATTTACAACTTATCTATAACTTTCATATATTATTTATACCCAATTAAATACATCTAAAACATCATACAACTTAAATACAATTTTCATACAAATTTTATATAATATGTCTTTTGTATCTGATTTGTATATATTTTGTATGTGGTGTGTTCTTCTTCCTCTCTAAAATTCCAATCAAAACTTCCTCTTTTAATACAATTTTGATACATATCAACAACTTTATGTAAAAAGATAGTGTTTATAACTTAAATATAATTTTTTTTACAACGATTCATACATTATACAACTATTTTTCAGCTTTCATACAACATTCAAATAAAAAAATATATAACTACAACATAATACAACTTAAATACAATTTACATACAACTATAATACAACTTTATTACAATTTCGTAAGTATATTGTATGTCATGTGTTCTTCTTCTTCTCAATTTGAAATTCGGCCAAAATCAAGTATAATCTTCACCAAATACCCTCAAAATTGAGATATAAACTCCAAAGAATATTCTCAATTGTTTGCAACAGCACCAAATCCGAACAAATAATAGTTTTTGAAAACCCAAATTTGAATTCAAAGTTTCGAAGCTTTTTAATGGCTATCAATGGTGGAGAATCAAACACCTTCAAAATTTATTGATTGACAATTTTAATTCGAATATCAATTGTAAAACATGAAAGAAAATTGTTAAGTTAAAGCTCTATAGTAAAACAATTGAAATCCATTGATGAATTTCATTAAAACTCTATACAACAAGAAAACATAAAAAAACAGAAAACATCAAAGGAAGAAAAATTAGGGAAAAAAACAGAGAAGGAGAGAGAGAGAGAGAGAGAGAGAGAGAGAGGTATAAAGGGATGGGGGAAATAACTAATATTTCTTATTTCATTCATAATATAAGTGGATACTCATTTAAAACTTATTTATATATAATTGGTAAATTGTATATGACCATGTAATTAGGTTAAAACTTAATTAGGAAGGGTAATAAAATTTCATATGTAGTATAGTAAGGTAAAAATCCCTTTAGTAATAGAGGTCTTAACACAACATCAAGGAAAGCTTGCATTGTGGGAAAATAATTTCATATTAAAAGAACCTCATAATCGGTATCGACGTTAATTTGTTTTTATTTCTACTTCTTTTATTGTTTTTGTAATCAGATTTTGTGTTGCTTCAAAAATATTCTTGAGGTTGCTAGTGATGAAAATCGTTGCTTAATTTTTTTCCCCTTTTTTTCAAAAAAAATTAACTTTTTTTCGAAATCAGCGTTTGTTTATAAAATTTTCAATTTTCATTTGAAGATGCATTTTGGAAATTTTTGAAAATTTAAAAAACTCCAAAAAGTTATTTTTCAAAATTTTTCACTCAAATCACTCACAAAATTTCAAAAACAACCCAAAAATTACATTCATGTTCAAACACAACTCTAAATTTCAAATACCATTTTCACTTGAAAATTTTTTTCCCCCTATTTTAAATTTTTAGAATTCTTATGTCCAAACGCCCACTAAAGAATCTAGCCATATCTTGCTTTTATCGTTTTTTTAGGAGGGTGGGGAAAGGGGAAGCAGAATTAGTTTATTCACCTACACAGATCTCGTAGTTAATAACATTATAGGAAGTCAGATCTATGAATTCATTTAAAAGAAGACTCCACTAATTAATGTCTTAGTTATTTTAATTCATGTTTTAAAAGGCGTTTTGGGGTGTATACCTCTTTCGCCTCCCCACCAAAAATTCTCCGAGACTATGGTGGGTGGGGGAAGTCTCAAGAGACATACGCTCAACAATTCGGAGCGTTGAGACGCGTTTTTATAATGAGGCGTAAGCCCATGAGACTTTTTCAAATTTTAAAAAAATAATTGCCGAATAAGACCTTAATATAATACCTAGATTCTCAAAAGTTAGCTTGTAATTTTCAAAAGTTTTAAAAATGATCTAAAACATTAAATTTAAAAGTCAAAACCTTTTTTTATTGCTTGAAGCTCTAATTTATAGTCTTTCTCAATTCTTTATCTTGTCGCCAGTCTGCTACTATCTCCAAAAAGCACCGAATAATCAATTTGTTTTTTTGCAAATACAAAGAAAACTCATTCCCCTCATAGCAACAAGTTAAGTTCAAATTGCAGATTAATCATACTTTTTGTTCCTCTATGTAGAAAATTTTATTCTTTTCAACTCAGGTTACTTGTGTNATTTCACTTAGTTATAGTTTTCTTCAATTTTTATGCAATTTACCTATTTAAAATTTTTTACTGTAATTATATCATTTTATGAATATTAGAAATTAAATACCCACGAGGCTTGCATCATGTGCCTCGGGGCTTACACCTTGTTGAAACATATGTAAAATAACTCGCCTTACACTCACGTCTTTTAAAATACCGATTTTAATAGATATACTACTTAACCCAAATATTAAATAATTGACTAAAATATTAGTCTATTCAATCATTTAATATTTCCGTGTTGCAAGTTATATATAGTACAAGTATAAATGAGGTGAATGCATTTAGAACACGTCAACGGGAGTTGGGAGTTCATGGGAAATCAAGTCAACGGTTGCATTTATTAGCTAATAAATGAATCCAACTATTGCAGTTGCACAGTTAGTAGATGTCAACCATAACATGATGATAAACCTTCTTCTTTAATTAATAATTAATAACGTGCATATGCTTTATTCTCTAGCTAGTAGCTTGACACGGGTGGGCAATAGGTTAAGCAAACAACTATAATTAGGCAATCCAAATAATTAAGAGGTCACAACTTTAAAAGGAGATTTAACTCTTATACGTTGCAAGTATAACTATTTTTAAACTATCAGTGTACTTTAATAATGTTATAACAAATTTATGTTCTAACTTACTTGTTTGACTTATTAAGAAAATTAAATATTATATTTTCGGTGACGAATATTATTTTACTTACACTATCATTTGTAGAAGTTAAATTCCTCACATTTTAGGACTAGAGAATTGTGGTTTAATGATCATCTGACCGCTATTTAGGATTTTCATAGGGTTAACTATGTTGAATAAGGGAAGAAATAATAATTGTAGCCGAATTCTTCCAATCAATTGCTGCTCACTTAAAGCTAATACTTCTTTTATTTCAATTTTTGTAACAACATTATTATTTAGGGAATGAAGAGGTTAATCTTCTTAGATCACATTTTTCTTAAATATTTTGACTTATTAATAGTATAATAATTTATAGTAGTAAAATTAAACACTTTGACGTTCTCTCAACCTTGCCTCATTACGTGGATAAGGATGGAGTTACGTAGTCGTTATTTCATTGTACATCATTATAGTGGTTCACTTATAAGTATTTATGAGTCCACTTAGAACCAAAAAAAAAAAAAAAAAAAAAAAAAAAAAAAAAAAAAAAATTCCTCCTATTATAGGTCTGGCTGGGCCCATCTCGTTAGCTAAGCTTCTCTTTCACTTTGCTTTATATACGGACCCCAAGTTTACTTGAGATATATACTTTCCTCTCACACACATAGAAGTTGCCTTCTAAGTTGCAAATATTAATCTTCTTTACATGGCTCCAGCTTCTTATAATTGCATATTCAATACTATATGTGTAATGGACGCTTCCAGTCGATTAGGTACAAAGTTAGTAAAGCGTCTTCTCAAGAGAGGTTACACAGTTCATGCTGCAGTTCAAAATCATGGTTAGAGCTTCAGTATATTCTTACTCGTTATAATTTCCTTCTTCAATTAATATTCTTCTTTATTTACGACTAATTAACGAGTTATGATATATTCATTAGGGGAGTCGTTGTCGTTGAAGGGAATTGAATGTGATCATAAGAAGAAATTGAAGATTTTCGAGTCGGACCCTTTTGATTACCATAGCATACTTACTGCTTTAAAGGGTTGTTCTGGTTTATTCTACTCGTTTGAGCCTCTTTCAGATTATCCCACTTACGATGTAAGCATACTCTTCTTAATTAGCTCTTTATTGATTTTCTAAATTAATTTCTACAGCTAGCATGCCTTGTAACTTGGTATTTTACTGTCCGGAATAAGTCAATGTTACTTATGTCTATATTTTGTGCCATCAAGGATTTTGTGACAATGAGTTTAAGTTCTATGCATCTTACCGTGTATAATTTTTTCTTCACCATTAGATAAAATTTGTGCATAACAATAGATAACTTTCCATAGTAAGTTTGATATACTAAACTGAATTAAAAATATAGTAGGACATGCTATAATCTGGTAAATTACAGTGATAGTATAAAATCTTTTTGTAGCAAGTTTGATACGGTAAAGTGAAAATCTGAAAAAAAAATATATAGTGATGACTTGCTATAATCAGTCCAATCGCTCTGATATATAGTATCCAAAAGTATTTATATTGTTTATATGTATAAAATGAATCTAGTGATCAAAATACATAATCTTATCCCTGCTCGTACGATATATGTCTAACTATTTACTGCTGTCAGCTTGTGGTAATTAAAGAAAAATTACAGAATCTAATTATTAACAGATCCCTGTATTGTGTATGTGGGTTACATGTTTTGTTAGGCAGATACTAGCATAGGTCAAACATTATTTGGTTAGTTAATAGGAACTAACAAAAAAGAGTGTACGATGACAGGAAGATATGGCAGAAGTGGAGGTGAGGGCAGCACATAATGTATTGGAAGCATGCGCACAAACAGACACCATAGAAAAAGTTGTGTTTACTTCCTCTGCAACTGCAATTATTTGGGGACACGACAAAGAATCTGCATCCACGGGTTATCTTGATGAGAGACATTGGACTGACATCAACTTTTGTCGTAAATTCAAGGTGTGATATATAGTATTATGCATACTTATCATGTGTTTTTTCTCTTCCTTATTTTTACCTTTTACTACTGTTTTGAAATAAATCCACCGCCCTATTTGCATGCAGAGGATGACAGTTAAATGGTTAAAACGTGATTTGCAAAACGAATAATGTATTCCCTTTATATTATCTATGTATTCTAATATGCTATAACACGTTACAATGGCGGAGGCAGAATTTTCATTAAGGGGTGTCAAAATATATAAAAATAAATATATCAGAAAATTAAGGGGAGTCAATACATAATATATATACATATAAATTATTATTTTTACCTACCTACACGGTGTATATATACTGACACGTCACCTGCCTTATTCGTTAGGATACTAATTAATACTCCACTACTTAATATGAACCGTTATTTCTAATAGGATTAATATTTTAGGTAACTTAATAGTGTAAAAATTATTTTACACGGTCAGTTATTTCTAAGTGAATGATTTTATAATAAAAGAAAAAGGAATACTTGAAGTGCTACAAGCTATTACTTATTAATTAAAGAAAAGAAGCAGTCGGTGCACAAAGTATCCCGTGTTTACGCAGGATCCGGAAACGGCCGCACCCAATGAGTGTGATATAGACAACCTATCCTGATGCACGTAGGGGCTCATTCCACGGCTCGAACCAGTAACCTATAGGTCACTCGAAGACAACTATACCGTTGCTCCAAGGCTCCCTTAAGTAAAACCTACTTACTAAATGCAAAATTCAAACTATCATAGAATTGCTTACAGAAAATGATAAGTAGTTTTGGTTTGAAAATGTACAGCTGTGGCATGCTATGTCGAAAACATTAGCAGAGAAGACAGCTTGGGCATTGGCAATGGACAGAGGAATCAACATGGTTACTATAAATGCAGGACTGTTAATGGGTCCTGACTTAACAATCTCAAATCCTTACCTCAAAGGAGCAGCTGAGATGTACGAAGATGGTGTGTTTGTGACTGTCGATCTTGATTTCTTGGTCGATGCCCACATTTGTGTCTATGAAGAAATAGCAACCTACGGTCGATATTTGTGCTTCAATCACATCATTAACCAACAACAAGATGCTTTTCACCTTGCCAAAATGTTGTCCCCTTTGCCTTCGTCCCCTCAAAGGTATATGCCTCATTTAAATTATTTCAATTCTTTCACATATTACATAATATGTACATTACGTAACATTTTTCTTTTCTTTTTTTTTCTTTTGCATATGATAGTATGGAGAATGACACAAGGATAATCCAACAGAGGATCAGCAACAAGAAACTGAATAAGCTTATGGTTGACTTTAAAGGATGCCAGTCTCAGATGAACCAAAATGTAAATGTTCAAGATGTTTGTTTATCATGAAACTGCAAATTGATTATACATATATAATTCCATTAGACATGAAATATGGTAACCTTCCCTTCATAGTGGTTCATATATATTTTTTAAATTTGATGACAATGATGTAAAGTTTCCCCGACCTCACTTCCCAACACCGAACCTCTTGGGTGTAATAGGAGAAAAAGAAAAAGTAATAAAAGGGAAAAACACGTAAATGGCTAAATGCAAAGCATTTAATCATGTTTGGGTAGAGAAGTCAATAATAATAGGAAAACAACAATTTACGTGACACCATGTGAATTGTGAGTTGGTTTTTTTCTGCAACCTAGTGGTGGTTGCTTTAAGTCTAATCATTTACTTGCAAGTCCAATTTGAGCTAGCTAGCTGGGAAAAGTAAGAGAGATTTGCTATCAATGCTTGTCAAATAGTGGATTTAATAATAAGAAGTTTGGTTCAAATAGTGGGTAAGGTTTGCTTTCGAACATAATTAAAATTTGAAAATCACGGTACACAATTTGAACCAAACTTCTTATTTTTATACTATCCTTTTCAATAATAAAAAGTCATACTATCCCATTTTAAAGTAATCTTTTTTTTTTGGGAACATTCTATTTTCTCGGTACACCTAAGAGAGGTTGCTTTCAGATGAAATCCTTGTGGTTCTTCGGTTATTTTCATCTTTTAGGAAACCAACAAGTATACAGTTACATTTTAATACACCACGTGTTTACTAACAATTAAGTTATGGTAAAGATGAAACATGCTTATATATTTATTTCATTATTAATTACGAACGGACTTAAGTTATGATATATGTTGGGTTTAAGCCTCTTAGAGCTTAAAAGAGGGTTAATGGAAAATGGAGGGGAAAATAAAAATTTAATTTTCCCTCCTTAGACAAAGAGACATTGTCCCATATTGGAGGAGGAAATGATTTTTGATGGGTATATATATAATTGCTCTTCTTCTAGCTCTTAAAGAGTTGAGAAGAAGGCAATCCTTGCGTCGTTGTCGTCGTCGTCGCTTGGCTTCGGCTTTGGCTTCGGGAATCAATTAAGTTTTTAGACCAAATTTATTTGTTAATATTAACGCAATATTAATTAATCCAAATTAGATCATTACTGTAGCGATAATTCAATTTTCCTCCGTTTTAATTTTTCCGTTATAATTTTGAGTTGCAACCTTATCTGACGAGTTGTAACTGCTATAAATACATGAACTCTCCCTCAGTTTTTTCTTACGAAAATTCTAATTTTTTCTTATTAAAATGAGGGAATTAAGTTCCTTAAGGAAATACTGTGAACTCAGTGGGCTCGGATTCATTTTCTCTTATTCTACATTTCTGATTTTTCCATTGCTACTGCTTTTGAATATATTTTCGAATACAGATTTCTAACAAGCTTAAGGAACTTAATTTATTTTTTTGTATTCATCTTATATTCTGTTTGTGGGAGACTAAATCCTAGTGATTTCTACTCTCAGTTTGGAGACTAAAATCTTCGGATTTTCTACTCCTTTTGTATTTGGTTTGAAGAAATAAAATCTTCACCGTTGTATGAAATCTGTTTCTGTTAAAGTTATTCGGTTTGAAGATTTTAAATACTTCATCGTTAATTAATTTTGTTTCTGTTTTGTGATTAACAGAAATGACAGAAACGAGAACTCATGTGGTTGGCTCTACGAGCAATGTTGCGTCTTCCAGTCGTTCTGTGCCACCACCGGCTCCAGCGAAAAAGCCCGAATTTTTTTTCGGGATTGACTTCAAACGGTGGCAACAAAATATGTTCTTCTATTTGACTACTTTGAGTCTACAGAAGTTCATCAAAGAGGACGTTCCAGTTCTACCGGAATCAACTCCTGAGAATGAACATTTTATGGTGACTGAGACATGGAAGCACTCAGATTTCTTATGCAAGAATTATATTTTTAGCGGACTGGAGGATGATCTTTACAACGTCTATAGTATTGTGGAAACTTCGAAAGAACTATGAGAGGCGTTGGAAAAGAAGTATAAAACCGAGGATGTCAATTTGAAGAAGTTCGTTGCAACCAAGTTTTTAGACTATAAGATGGTAGACAGCAAGCCTGTCATTGCCCAAGTTCAAGAGCTGCAAGTTATCATTCATGATCTCCTTGCTGAAGGTATAATCCGAATTAAAGCTTATGTTGAAAGTATTAATTCTGTTACTAATTATGAATTTTTTGTTGAAGGTTTGACCTCCTTTATGGAGGGACTTTAAGAATTACTTGACACACAAGCTCAAGGAGATGAAACTCGATGATCTCATCGTTCGATTGAGGATCTAATAGGACAATAAAGCTGCAGAAAAGAAGACACGTGGGAACTCAACAACTATGGGAGCAAATATTGTTAAAACTGCTCCAACTAATCCGAAAAAGCAGAAGAAGTCTTCTGGACCAAACAATTATCCCAGCAAGAAGAAATTCAAGGAAAATTGCCACAACTGTGGAAAGGTTGGACATAAAGCTGCAGAATACCGTACTCCAAAGAAAGAGAAGAAAAAGGATCAAACAAATATGGTTCAAACAAATGATGATATTGATGACTTGTGCGCTATGTTGTCTGAATGCAACTTAGTGAAAAATACTAAGGAGTGGTAGATTGATTCTGGTATCACCCGCCATGTTTGTGCTGTTTGAGAAGCATTTGCTTCATATGCTCCCGCTAGACCCGACGAGACCATTTTTATGGGAAATTCTGCAACAGTCAAAATTGAAGGTTATGGAAAGATATTCCTAAAGATGACCTCTAGCAAGGTGGTGACTTTGAACAATGTTTGTCATATTCCTGAAATACAGAAGAACTTAGTTTCTATTTCACTTCTCGTCAAGTACGGGCTTAAGTGTGTTTTTGTTTCAGACAAAGTTGTAATAAGTAAGAACGAGATGTACTTACGAAAAGGTTACCTTACTGGGGGCCTTTTTAAGCTGAATGTAATGGTTGTTGACAATAATAAAATTTTAGTTTTTTCCTACTTACTTGAGTCAAATGATTTATAGCATATACGTTTGGGACATGTCAATTATAAAACCTTGCGAAAAATAATTTATTTGGAAGTATTGCCTAAGTTTGAATGCGACAAATCAAAATTTTAAATATGTGTGGAATCTAAGTATGTTAAATATCCTTATAAGTCAGTTGAAAGGAATTCAAATCCTTTAGACTTAAATTCATACAGATATTTGCTAAATGAAGTCTATACCATCTCGCGGTGGAAAGAAGTATTTCATAACTTGTATTGACGATAATACTCGATATTGCTATGTTTACTTACTTAATAGTAAAGATGAAGCAATAGATGCATTCAAGCAATACGAAAATGAAGTTGAAACGCAACTTAACAAGAAAATCAAAATGATAAGAAGTGATAGGGGTAGTGAATACGAATCTCCTTTTGAAGAGATATGTTTATAATATGGAATTATTCATCAAACAACGGCCTCTTACATGCCCCAATCCGATGGGATTGCGGAAATAAAGAATCAATCATTAAAGGAAATGATGAACGCTTTGTTAATAAGTTCTGGTTTGCCACAGAACTTGTGGGAGAAAGCTATTTTTACGGCTAATCGGATATTAAATCGAGTACCCCATAGCCCCATAGCAAAACGCAATCCATTCCATATGAAAAATAGAAAGGGAGGAAGCCCAACTTGAATTATTTTAAAGTATGGGGGTGTTTGGCAAAAGTGCAAGTTCCTAAATCCAAAAAGGATAAAGATAAGACCGAAAACCATTGATTGTGTTTTCATAGGATATGCGACCAATAGTAAAGCATATTGTTTTCTGGTGCAAATCAGAAAATTCCAACATTCATAATAATATGGTTATAGAATCAGATAATGCTGAGTTCTTCAAAAATATATATCCGTATAAAATGGAATGTGAGTCGATTGGTGAAGGATCTAAATGACATCGGGAGGAGACAAAAGAAAGTACATATAATCAGGAGGATCCAAGACGTAGTAAACGTCAAAGAACGTCTAATTCATTTGGACCAGATTTTGTAACTTTCTTTTTGGAAAATGAGCCTCGAACATTTAAAGAAGATATGTCTTCTTTGAAATAATTATTTTGGAAAGAGGCAGTCAATAGTGAAATAGAATCCATACTGAACAACCATACATGGAAATTGGTTGATTTTCCTCAAGGCAATAAACCATTGGGTTCTAAATAGATTTTTAAGAGGAAAATAAAAGATTATGGTACTATTGACAAATATAAGGCAAGACTTGTGGTCAAAGGATATAGACAACGAGAAGGTATTGACTATTTTGATACATACTCTCTAGTTACAAGAATTACGTCCATACGAACGTTAGTAGCTGCGATATATGGTCTTGAAATTCATCAAATGGATGTTAAAACAGCCTTCTTAAATGGAGTTTTGGAGGAAGAGATTTACATAGAACAACCTGAAGGGTTTGTAGTTCCAGGTAAAGAAAAGAAAGTATGTAGACTTGTTAAGTCACTTTATGGACTAAAATAAGCACCCAAACAATGGCATGCGAAATTTGACCAAACAATATTGTCAAATGGCTTTAAGATAAATGAATGTGATAAATGTGTGTACATTAAAAATGTTGCAAATCACATAGTCATTGTTTGCTTATATGTGGATGATATGCTGATAATGAGTAATGACATTGCTAACATAAATGCGACCAAGCGTATGCTAACTAGCAAGTTTGATATGAAAGACTTGGGAGTTGCCGATTTAATTCTGGGTATTAAGATCCATAAGACTTCTCAAGGTCTCGCTTTGTTGCAATCTCATTACATAAAAACAATACTTGAAAAATTCAAGTACTTAGTTTTTAAAGTTGCAAAGACTCCGATTGATGTGAATCTTGCACTTGCAAAGAACAAAGGCCAAAGCATATCACAATTGGATTATGCTCGTGTGCTGGGATATTTAATGTATATCATGAATTGTACTCGACCAGATATAGCTTGTGCTATAAGTAAATTGAGTCGATACACGAGTAATCCGGGTCAATCTCATTGGATGGGGATGAAACGAGTTTTGGGATGTTTAAAACATACCTAAGACTTTGCCTTGCACTACAGTAATTATCCTGTGGTGATTGAGGGATACTGTAATGCAAATTGGATCACCGGTTCAACTGATTGTAAGTCCACAAGTGGATATGTATTCACTATTGGTGGATGAGCGATATCTTGGAAGTCGTCCAAACAAACTTGTATTGCCCGCTCTACTATGAAGGTTGAGTTTATAGCCTTTGATAAAGCCGGTGAAGAAGCCGAATGGCTCCGAAATTTCTTGGAAGATATTCCCTTTTGGCCCAAACCGTTGGCACCAATATGCATATATTGCGATAGTCAAGCGATAATTGGAAGGGTTGGGAGCGTCATGTATAACGGTAAATCTCGTCATATACGACGAAAACATAAAACCATTAGGCAGCTACTCTCTAGGGGGATCATCACAATTGACTACGTAAAGTCAAGCGATAATGTGTCGGATCCACTTACGAAAGGCCTAACTAGAGAGGTAGTTGATAAATCATCTAGGTGAATGAGACTATGGCCGATGATAAGTCATTGTGGCGGTAACTCTACCTAGAAGACTGGAGATCAAATAAAGTCATTAATGACAGTTCAACATTGTCAACTAAAAATTTTGGTCCATTCTCGTGATGAGACAATGTTAAGTACCAAGGATAAAGCATAAAGGTTTTTTATTGTCTTCTAAATTGATACGGGGTATATCAAATAGTATATCTACGGGATGACACGTTTAGGAATCACCTATGTAAGTATGAAATGTTAGCCGCTTCAAGGAGAACTTTGTAAGGCGAGTTTTCTACGCACTTATGAAACCAGGTGCTGTTCATGGCTAAAACGAACATAACAATGAGAACCAAAGACGGTTAAGGGTTGATTGTGTGACTTATGGTTGTCTATGTATACACCAAAGTTCGACGGTTCAAAGATATCAAATCTACCGATTGATCGAGTATATCCGACATAAGTTCACTACGGAATGTTCAAAGGGAAACCTACTTATCCAGATGCGATTAATCCTTGCTTGTAAATCACATAGTTTTTATGTATATTTCCGTGATATAGCCATTCCCCGTTCATGCAGGGATTGTTGGGTTTAAGCCTCTTAGAGATTAAAAGAGGGTGAATGGGAAATGGAGGGAAAAATAAAAATTTAATTTTCCCTCCTTGACAAAGGGACATTGTCCCATATTGGAGGAGAAAAAGACTTTTGATGGGTATATATACAATTGCTCTTCTTCTAGCTCTTAAAGAGTTGAGAAGAAGGCAAGCCCCGCGCCGTTATCCTCGCACGGCTTCATCTTCGGCTTCGGCTTCGGCTTCGGCTTCAGATTGAGATTTGGATTTGGATTTGGTAAAATGATTGATTGATTAATTTTTTGGACCAAATTTTTAACCTTACCTGAAGAGTTGTAACTCTTCAGTATAACCCAACGTTTTTTGGCTATAAATACATGAACTCTCTTTCGTATTTTCCTTACGAAAATTCTGATTTCTCCTTATTCTTTCTGCATTATTTTAACAGAAAAGAAAACAGTAAGTGTGATTTACTACTGCTCTTTGAGTTCGTTGACCACTAGGGTTTGAAGTACCGCTACACCGGTGAGGTTATCCGTTCTATCATGAGAGGAAATAATCCTAAACCTCGGGTACTAGGAGGGGATTAAGTTCTTTAAAGAACACTGTGAATTCAGTGGGCTCAGATTCATTTTCTGTTCTTCTACATTTCTGATTTNATATATATATATATATTGTTAATGTAAATAATTTTTACACTATCAACGACCAATTTAATTGGCTATAGTCACTTTAATTTTCAAATTAACTTATTAGATTTGACGGTTTGTTATATAAGTTACTTATTTTTATAGGTAACTTTAATTTGATGTTATTAAAAAAAATTACACACTATTAGCACGATTTGCAAACTTAAACACCGAAAAAACGACGACTCAAACAATATGAGGGAAATGAAATTTTACATGAAAAAGTGGTAAAACTGACTTTTTCAAATTTGGAAACTCGTCTTTAAAAGAATTTATCCAGCATATAACCAAACAAGTTTTGAAGAAAAAATTTCGAAAAAAAAAAGAAAGAAAAAAATTTGTATAAAAAAGGGGTCCTTAGTTTCTCACTTTTCATACCCAAAGCCCAAAGTTGGTCCATAGTCTAATGACAACTTATTGCAAGCTGAATCAATGCGTTCCAATAATTTTATGGGCTCGACTGAGTTGGGTTACCCACTTGAACTAATTAAGGCCTATCTTAAAAGTTAGTAGTGTGGAGGCCCTGAATATTTCCTGCAGGCCCAGTGTATATTTTTCGTATATCTTTAGTTGTTTATTTCGTTTTGTTTCAAATAGATGTTACCAATGTGTAACTGTTACTTTCTCTTGAACCATAGTACTATTATTTGATTAGAGCATCGAATCTTAGTTCCTACTTTAATTTTTAACGAACTTTTAATCGATATTATTATAAAAGTGAGAACTCCAGCATAAAAAAAATTACATAAATTTCTGTTACATGAATAATGTGATAAAACTAACTATAGTACCAGGATAACAATATTTTGTTGTCTATGGCTTTTCCAAAATGCACAACACAATTACTGGGGAGCTGATAGGCTGCCTTAAGCATTAGAGCCAAACACAATATGCGATTATTTACTTTTAACAAAAAAATATTTAATACATGCGGTTATTATGGTCATTTTAGTTGTTGCAATCCAAGTGTTACTAATCCTCATACTTTTATTCTACCTTCTATCTCGAAGTGATTAATTAATTCCTGCATAACTTAGGTAGGTTTTAGTTATGTTTTTTTTTTTTTGATAACCGTGGTGTCCGGGCCAGCTTGCGCCCACCTCGACTAATTCTACGGGATACCTGCCACCTCCTACCAACAACAGCTACCAGGTAACTCTATCCACAAAGGCTTGGATAGATGAGAAGAAATCACCTAGTATTTGCCTCCGCTGGGATTTGAACCTGAGACCTCAAGGTTCTCACCCACTTCATTGACCACTGGGCCTTTTAGTTATGCTTATGTAGGCAACAAAAATGCCAATCAAACAATGTACTATTATATAAGCTAAATTTTATGCAAATTTCAGAAGCTAACCAAACATTGTAACACTAATGTGAAGTTTTATACAGATAGTTAACATTGGTAATGCAACGAAACGACCCCTGCCAAATCTTAGACAAACTCTATCACATTTGAGCAATAAATTTTCTTCCACTCTCCATCCCTATCCCGTTACAATTTTAAATCCCTCTATTGGTGCAACATTTTTTAGGCCTATTAAATCCAACTCCAATACAACAATTGTAACAAGACTAGCCTCTCACACAATAATCAAACAAATAAAACTCAAGAAATCATGCCATTGAAGTCCCATAAGACATGAGCTCTCCCTTGATTTTTGCATAGAACAATCATCCATTCACTCAGCCATACAAAAACAGAGGATGAACTAAAGAACAGAAAAGCTCAATTTCTAAGAGAAAAAGACCTTTCAAACTCATGTTTGCTGACTCTTAACTTGTTTAAAGGCATAGAAAAATCCTCCTAAATCTTGACACAAAAATAATCAAATATTTGACAAAGGAATGTCAATGTTTTGTCCTCTCCCACGTTTGGGAAACAATAATCTCCCACTGGATAATGATCTCTTAATCACCATAGGACTTGTCACACAATGTATAAGTGCATTGTTTCTAATCCCATTCCTACTCATTTCTTCACCATTATTGTCTTGTAATTTTGATGTTCCAACATCTCTTTGCAACTGACAATCTTCGAATTCGTCGTGATCAATTCTTAGTACATCAGCTATCGATAAACGACCTTGTGATTCATAGTCCATTGACACTGATCTCCTAACTTCTTGATTTATATGGTTCGTTACATCTTCTTCTTGTGATTCTTCTTCTCTAATGCCCATTTCAATATCATTTTCAGGTTGGACTTGTGGAGTTGGTTCATTTGCTAGAGGAATAATTTCCATGATTGGAGGAGGTGAAGCATTTGGAAAGATGATATTAGCTCGACATAAAGGGCAATTGGAGTGAGATTTAAGCCATGTATCAATGCACGTTACATGAAAAGCATGGCTACATTTTGGCAAAAGTCTAAGGCTTTCATCTTCTTGAAATTCACTTAAACAAACAGAACAATCTGTCCCTTCAGTCAATAATCCATCACCTTTCTTGTACTTAAACACAGTAATAGACTTGATTACAGCTTCATCTAAACCACCTGTACTCGCATGCCATGGTTCGTGATTCGAAGGGTCATGATCTTGATCTTCTAATTCTGAATCTTCTTCATTATTTTCCCTTCTTGTAACATTCCTATTCTCACAATATTTTGATATTATGGCATAATAACTGACTAATAGGAAAGCACTGGCTAAAATTCCAATGATCGCGATAACTAGAGGGGAGAAATTAGGACTAGAATCATCATCAGGGAATTCAAATGGAGGTGGTGGAGGGAAGATTATGTAACACCATTGTGGGCAGTATAAACTGCAAAATCCTTGAGAACAGTCCCTAGTACTCATATAAGGTACCCAAGTTCTTGGATTACTTACGGGCACCAACTGCTCGTCGTTGGAAAGACTCTTACTATACATGGGACTGCAGAAAAATAAAATAATAATGGTGTAGCCCAAAAGAGGTTACTCTCCTATCTCAACTAACAAGACCAACTAACAACAACCGCAGTGTATTCCCACAATTATACTTAGGGTTCGGGGAGAGGGATGTACGCAGCCTTACCCTTAACTTTGAAAGACCATATACACTTGACTAAAGAAAAAATGAGAAGAAGCAATGACGACAAGTAGTAACAATACAAAATATTATGAATATAGTAACAAGACCAATGAATCTAATTAGAAAAGAAGGGAGAAAACAGGGGAATGAGAAGAATTTACCTGAGCTTAGTGGTTATATTAATATCAGATAGAAGGAAGTAAAGGGCGCGAATGATTGAAGTGTGGCTTTGAAGGGTATTGTTTAGTAGAAGAAGAAGGTGAAAAAGGGGAACAGACCAAAGCAGCTTAGAAGGAAAGCAGATGGCAAAAACAAAGAATTTGGAGAATGCTTAGATTGGTGTTTCTTGTTTTTTTCTTGTGGGTTCTGTTTTCCTTTTCTTTCCTTTTTCTTTGTTCTTCTTTCTTTTTCCTTTCTTTAATTTGCTTTATTGGAGATAGTGGTATGTTGACTAACATGATCATGTTGGTTGGGCATTCATCAAAGTAATCAATGCTTTATTATGGTACAACCCACTTGCTGAAATGCTACTATATATTACATGTAGCTCTTTGCCTTTTATATTAAAGAAGAAACTTAAGATTGACATGACTGACTTTCCAAACATCTTCACGCTGAAGTAAATCCAACACAAACTTGTTTATTACTGGACACTGAAGATCGTTTGACCATAGATTTTGTCAAAATAAATTTGGATTTTATTTGGCAAATATATGTTTGACCATAAATTTTGCCTACATTTTGGTCAAATTCCAAATCTCAAATCCCAAATTTCAAAACCAGCTAATCACTACTATATTTTTTAAAAATTGCCCCAAACTTTTATATTTTATAAAAGAGCCCACCATTTATTATTTTGTAACGATGTTGCTTCGTCTTCTCCGTCATCTGATAATGTATCATGTAGTTAATTATAAAAATGATAATTTTGTATCAAATTTATTTATATTCAGGATTATGATTTGCGATAATATAATGAATGTTATTGATAATGGTACTGTTGGGTATTTGTGATAGTTTTTAGAACTTATGGGTATAAGTCATGTTTCATGTTTTTCCAAACCAAACTTCACCCAAAACAAATGTCCAAACACATTTTCATCTTCAAACCAAACTTCACCCACATCAGATTTTTCAGAATAAATTTGAAAATCTATGGCCAAACGCTAGCTAAATTGTATCTACCAATTTTGATACCAGATTTTTTTAGTGGCGGACTTGTATTCTATTATTGGTAGATTTTTATCACTTCATGTTGTTCCTTTGTCCTTTTTTTTTGGTCATTACTGTTTGTTGATACTGCTTTACTTGCATCTTTCCTTGAGCCGATATTCTATTGGAAACAACCTCTCTACGGTAGAGAAATAAAGTTTGTGAACACATTATTCTACTCACACCCCACTTATGAGATTATACTAGAATAATTGTTGTTGTTGTAATTTTATACAAGATTTATCAGTTTTTAGTTACTGTTTCGTCAACTTATTGAGGACCAAAGCAAGTATGCATTAGACTAGCCAAAGACTATAAATTCAGCAAAGGAATTTCTTCATTCTCTTTGAAATGTAAAAATGGGAATCTGCTTAAAGGCACCACATAAAGAAGTATATATTCTTGCTTTGGCTCTTGATACTATATTTCCTTTCAAGTTGTTGAAATCAATGCTACTTTATAAAATTTGATGAGGTATTGTCGTTTGTGCCTGGTTTGAAGTTTTATTTTATTAGTTTCTTTTTTTTTGGGTGGGGGAGAGAACATGTAGTGACAGAAACTAAAGGAATTAAGAAATTGTAAGGGAAAGTTTAATTCTACAAGTCAATGATTTAGGTGAAAGAATCAAGAACAGTCAATAATTGGCTTTTTTCCAAATGTAAAACCCAAAAAATTCCTTCTTCCCCACCCCTTCCTATTGTCCTTTTCATTCACTAAAATTACTCCCTCTGTTTCAATTGACGTGAACTCATTTGACTGAGTACGGAATTTAAAAAAAAAAAGAAGACTTTTAAATTTATAGTATAAAATAAGGCACATATATTTTGTGTGGCTATAAATCATTGCATAAAAATAAATTATTTTCAAATAGAGAAAAAGACCATTCTTTTTGACACGAATTAAAAAGGAAATAAGTTCATATAAATTAAAAAATAATTTCTTTCCGCACATAGTTGTGCAGCAAGTCAGCAACCCTTGCTGTCATTTCCAAAATATGCTGAGTGGAAGGTCAAAAATACGTAATGCTTTTGGTCTCATTTTTCTTTAGCTTTTACTTTCGAGTACGGCGGACCCACGATTTAAAGGTTTTGGGATATTATTTTTTACTCAATCTAAATCTACTTCGTATATAGGGTGTCATTATTAATATATTATTATTTTTTCGTTTCAAATTAGATGAGATTTTTTTTAGTCTGTTCCAAAATAAATGACATATTTTTAAATTTGGAAATAATTTAACTTTAAACTCTTTATTTTACCCAATTTACCCTTAATAAAAAACTTTTATAACCTCACAAATGTCATAACCTCACAAAACTTTTACCCCTTAAGCTTTTAAGATTACGAGTTTTAAAAGTCTTCTTTTTTTACTTAAACTACATGCCGAGTCAAATTATTTCATCTAAATTGAAACGGAGGGAGTAATTTTTAAGAAATGTATATGTATATATCAATTTTTTGTTGAACTTTCCTGTGCACGTAACCCTTTTCTTTATAGCATAGGTTAGAAATGCATATGCATATATCATTTTTTTCTCGAGTAACCCTTTTTTTTATAACATAGGTCCGCCCTGCCCGTTCAGCGGTTATAACAGGTAGAAGATGATACTTTTCTAACAAAGTTACTAGTACCGAAATAGTTTTATTGTTCCTCAGCAATTCCATTTTTTGTAACTGAAATGCATGCTTCAGAAAATGTCATAATTATTGAGAACGCAATTGAATATCAATGGCATTCAAGATGGAGACAAGATGATAATTGAAGGCTTATTTTTTTTTCCTTGCATGCTTTTCTTGTCTATAAACAATAGAGAACACAAGTGGGCCTTATTTTATAATCAGTTTAACAGCAAATCATGTTACTTTTTTTTAGTAAGTGCGTGATGCTCTCTTATCTTTTATATTCTGTGTACTAATCAAATAAGGGGGTAATATATTTGCCTTGGAGTGTAATGACATGTCCTCACCTTTAGGAAATCATTAGTGGAACGAAAGTACTAAATTCTTTGTCTATGCTGCTGAAGATTTTTGGTACAATTGCAAATTATATGCTCATAAAGAAAACAAAATGTAAGGCTGGAAGTTTGGTAAAACCCAGCAGAACAACCATGTGCCTCAGATGCCTATCTCTTATAAGGCTAGAACTTCGTACAGGACAATTATGATGTAATATATACTCCCTCATTTTCAAAAAGAATGAAACATTACTATTTAGGCAGTAAGATAAGATTTTCTTTTTGACCATAATTTTTTGTAGTTTTATTGTGACTTATAGTACCTTTTTATGTAGTTTCTAAATATCGAAATTTTATTTGAAAATACTTAAAGAATCTATGTTTGTATTCACATCGCCAATTAGTGGATTAGAGATAAGAACAAAATAGTAATAATGTAGAAATAAAGTGCAGGAATTAAAGACATCGGGATTTTTATACTAGTTCAGATTCAATGTGAATCCTACGTCCATTCCCCTTGGGTTGTAAGGGTGCTCTCTTTCAGTATTTGAAGTTTCTCGATTACAACATGGTTGATGTAGCTTTAGACCAACAACTTAGTCTCTATGTCGCTTATCTCTTCTTGATACAATGCCTCACTAGTGTTTATCTCTTTTTCTTCTCTCACTAATTATACAATACATCTAAAGAGAATTACAATGCTTGTTTGGAATAGAACAAAAAGAGTGATAATGATTCGTTCAAAGCATGCCTGCTTCAAGCCTGGAACAAATATATATATATACTTCGTGAGATCTTCTTGACTCTTGATTGACGTGAATCTTGAGAAATTACAAACCCAAGGGAGTTGATCCTTGAAACGAATCATAAATTGATTCTTTCTAAGAATAAGGTCAAGTTTCCGTTGATCTTCCTTGACTTATGGCTTTGACAAGCTTTTCTTCCGCTAAGCAGATCTTTCTGTTAATTGAGTGATCAACAACGGATCCCTTAATTTCGAGCTTTAACGATCTCCGCTGCAGAGCTTTGTAATCTTGTTTTCCTTTGATTTAAGACCTTCCTATAATAGCTTCCGTCAATCATCTATCAAATCATTGATTGATTCTTCTTCCGATGTCACAACCCAAATACCTAACCCGTCGTGATGGCGCCTATCGTGGAATTAGGCAAGCCGGCATTCTCAATATGCTTTCATTATATGACAGGAAGGAGCTAAAGCAATTAAATTAACTGAATGTTTACATAATAACGGAGTAAAAACCCAAAAATACAAGTGCGAAAATGATAGCCCGACATCGAGGTGTCACTAAGTCATGAGCATCTAACAACCAATCTAGGAACAGAGTCTACTACAGTCTATGCCAAATGCCAATACAAGAGAGAAAAGATAATAAAAATGGAGAAACAAGGACTACAGACGCCAGCAGCTACCTCATAAGTCTCCGATAATCAGCTCGCGCACGAACTCGGCGACCGTCAGAACCGTACACACCTGGATCTGCACATGAAGTGCAGGGTGTAGCATGAGTACAACCAACTCAACAAGTAACAAATTAAATAAGGAACTGAGAAGCAGCGACGAGCTATAAGAAATACAGATCATTTCAAAAGTTTTCCGTAAAAGGTGAACATGCTTTCAAATCCGGTGGTATAATTCAAATAAGTTCGAGCTCAAGTAAAGCAGATATGAATCTTCCAGAAATTTCACAACAACAACAGATAACAACATAAGTGCATAAATAAATAAAAGTAAGTACAGACTCTCAAGGTAGCAGTCACTCAGCTTAATCTTAACAGCTCATACTCTAAGCTCTCAACCTTCAATACAACAGTCCTTCCAGCAAGCGCTATAATCACACGGACAACTCACGTGCTATCGTATCATATCAAGATCTGCACGGATAGCTCACGTGCTACAGTATCATATCCGAATCCGCACGGACAACTCGTGTGCTTAGTATCAACATCATAATTCGCACGGACAACTCACGTGCTATGGTATCTATACCTCATAACCAGGCCCTCAGTCTTACTCAGTCATGTACCTCTTTAGTCTCACGGCCCTCAGAAATCATAAAGATCAGCCCAAAAAGAGAATACAACAAGTATCAACAAGAAATGAGAGGGAACAGAGATATAACACACAAGTAAGACTGTGACTGAGTGCAAGACAACAACTAACAGTCAATTCAACAAGTATACGATCGCTGTGGGTCCCAACAGTGAGATCATAAGGCCAAAGCATGGTTTCTAACATGAAAGGCAGTTAATTGCTCAAAGGCAAGGAAAAACAAGTAATAACAATGGCTATTCGACTTCACAGTCTCATGGGGAC